TGGCTGTGTTAGACATATCCTGCAGACACAACCGATGTATCAAGGCTTCTATTCTACCTTTGTTGAAACTTATGCTTGTTAGCCTTAGTGCTTTATATTTTAGACTGGCAGAGGTTCACTGATTCTCAAGCATTTTCCATTGCTGTGATAGCAATTCAGAATTGCTGTGCTTCTAAATGCAAACTACACCAGCCATCTTTAGCTGTTTGAAAAGGCGCCAGTTGTCACTTAAAAATAAATCTTTTATTAAGTTGTTAGAAAAGTAGAGTGATCCTGTAAAATAGGGCTGACGGCTTGAAGCATTTGTGATCTTTCAGATGCTTTTATAAATCTTGAGATGGTAATAAGCATGTTCTGTATACATGGTATAAGTATAATGTAAGGCAAAGCCGGAACCAGGGTTTGCAAAAGTTAATTTTTAGACTACAGCTTTTGGAATCTCAGTAAAATAATTCTGGGCAATTCTGAGATTTGTAGTGTCATTCCTTACCAGGACAAGTCTTCCTGCTCCTCAGAAGAGAACTCCAAGGCTACAGGCCTGTTGTAAAAATTATAGTTTGTTTATCTCTGGTAGGAACCAACTTTTTAAGGTGCCTGGAAGAGAGAGAACATCCAGCCCAGCCACACATACAGTGGTGCTTTAGGATTTAAGGGTTAAATTTATTAAGATATAATTCTGCAGTGGAAAGGGACAGAATTTATCTCAGAGCAGTCCGTCTTGCCATAGGGAAAGCAAAGCCATACCACCCAGAATATGTCGGATCTCTTAAGCTAAGCAGAGTTGTGCCTGGTTAGTACTTGGATGGGAGACCACCAGGGAATACTGGGTGCTGTAGAGTTTTTAATATATGTGTTTAAAGGAAATATATTGGAAAAGAAAAAAAGGGGGGGGCAAAATAGATTTTCTGTGGGCCAGTTGGAGGAGATGAGGCAGTTGCTCAGCTAGAGAAGAAGCAGGGCTGATAGAACATCCCTCTGCCCCAGAGAATGCCAGTGACTCAAGCTGTTGGAAAACAAGTGCAGGGTCAGCAAAGACTCTTGGGGACAGTCTCCCAGACCTGCAGCCAGAGTGGATGCAGTTGAAGCAAGGAAGCACCCGAGCCAAGAACTATAAAAGCTTTCCTAGTCAGACCTGCTTTGCTGGAAACAACAAGGATTATTCATGTTGCTACTGGTTCCAGGTGTCACCTGCTTTGGATTTCTTTAACCTTTACCAGCTCTTTTTCAACTCTATTATTTACTCCCCGGGACTGAACTTTGGCTTTTGGACTCTGACTGAGATTCTTCTGCTACCCTCCCTGACTGGCTTGTAAATACTAGCTTTTCACCTTGTTTGTTTTGGAAGCTGTTAAGTGGCCTTGAACAAGCATTCTCCTAGCAGTTTACCTGGATAAACATAAGGTATAGTCCAGAAAGTAATTTTTTTCAAGTTCTTACCAGAAGTAAGGTTGAAAAAGTTAATTTGGGGGGCTGTCAGAAGCCTAAATGAAAACTAGTGGGCAGATTGAAAGGATTCACAGTTGAGACTTTTACACATGCAGTCACACAAGACTTGCATGATCTCCAAAAGTTGCTCCATAAAATTCAGATATCTGTAGAAATACCTGGCAATATACTGTGAGGAAGTAGAACATGGGAAGATTTGTATCTACTCATCTAAATGAGATGCAGGACTTGATTGCAGTGAAAGCCAGCAGGAAAAAGGATGCCAAGGAAGCAAAAGGCAATCTCAGTATTGCTGCCACCAAGGTCAGCAGTCAAGCTGGACTATAGGATACCCTCTTATGTTCCTTATCATTCACAAAGATACATAAAGCAAGGGAAAATCCCAGAAACTTGCTCATTTTTTCATCAGTTAACAACTTCTCATCCAAACACAAAGCAATTCTCAAAATAGAATTTCCTCATAGAATTTTGATTTGCTGTGCCAGCCGAAGATCGTTGCTGCTGTCTTATGCAGCAATAATGCAGAGTGTTGGATAGCTTGTGTTTTCTTTTGCTGAAGAACTGAGATGTGCAGTGTTTGTACTGAAAGGTATTTGCTTTGTTTTTAAGTAAAAATACAGATATCAATGCAAGTTTCTAATTCTTTCTTACTGGGTGCTAATCAGGTGTCAAAGGGTGAGTGGTGATCTGGAGCAAGAATTGACCATAGCATCCTTTATGGTCTCTTTAGGACTCAGTTGGGTGGGAGAGTTTCCCAGCACCAGCTAACACATGTGCCATCAGTGGACCGCAGTGCTAGGGCTTTCCTGCTGGTGGGCATACTTGCAAAGAGAGTGGCCACAAGTGAAGGACTGTAGCTTGAAATAAGCCCAGTGGGGAAGTCGACACATCCAGCATGGCAAAGGATTTAAAAAGATGAGAAAAGAGCAGCAGTGAGAAGTGACTTAATGCCCGTGGTTTAGGTTTCCTACTTTTGCTACATCCCCCACCACCTGGCTCCAACCTTGGGACCAGCAGCTGAAAGTACTGTCTTGAGGGAGGCAGTGTTGTGAAAGGTAACCACTGTACCAGGACTATAAAGACTGGGATAAGCCCTCGTGTGCCCATGACTCAAGGCGAAATAGCCTAACTGTAAATAATTCTACAACAAAAGTAATATAGTTGCAGCATAAGTCACTTTCTCGTTCAGTGATGATATTCTTAAGAGGGCTCATTGTGACACACACACCCAGCACATGGTGGGCTGAGGGGGCATGCACATCAGCTCTTGGTGTTTGGAGTAATTAGCTGATTGAATATTGCTTGCAATTTGGGATTGTTTGCGCTTCCTACTCTCTGCTAATGCATCTCACATAGGTCTTTGTAGTAATACAGACAATTGTAAAACAAAACACATTTTAAAGACATGTTTTCTCTTTATTGCATGTGTGACTCAGGTTTGGCTTGCTTCCCCTTGATTCTACCATGTTTCTAGGTTTAATTAAATTCATTATCAACTCTTTCAAGCCCACTAATTATTATGGAAGACTTTTTTTTAATTAGCCATCTCTCTTCTAGAACCTTAGCAGAGACCATAAAACACCATATTGTGTCTGGTGTTTTGTGACAAACAATGTTTGAATATCTGATTTTAATTTGTTTACTGTGCTTCTTCCATTTACATCCTGTTGGCAATGGAAATGGTCCTAGCTCATGCTGGTTACACAGGCATCAGCATATCCCTGAGGTTTACTATATGCCTGCAAAAGAAAGAATATATATTGGTGATACCCCAGTCAATAATAAGAAAACAAGTAGCAAAAAAGCTCAGATCTTAAATGATTATATTCTGATTTAAGTTGCACCTGATCTAGATACTGGATCTAAATCTTTACTCCATGAAGGTTTTTTTCAAGATTTATAAATCTTTAATCTAGGATGCGGCTGACATGTAAGAGGACATAGCAAGATGCATTTGCTTCGGGATGTTGAGACTTAATATAAAGGTCAGCACTTGACTGCAGTAGACATCTCTTTCAGCATAAGAAAAAAACAACACAGGTGGAGTTAGAAGTATTTAGAAGCTGCAGGTACACACAAGAGAGCACAATTATTATTTGCTTGAAGGAAGCTTGTTTTCATCTGAGATGCTGGAAGAAAACATTGAGCTTGAGAAGAAAACAGGTATAACAAAAAGAACAGGGTGCATCAGGGGAAAGGGTATAATGATGAACATGAAGAGGGTATAATGATGGACATTAAAATGATAATATGTTTTATTAATTATCTGTGTAAATAGAAAATATGATTTTCATTTTTGGGCTTGTCCATCATTCTGGCTAGAAAGTCTCAGCTGTGCAATTGCCCTTCTTAGGACATGCATGTACCCTGGGATTTCCTGTCATTTACTAGATATAATCCTGCATGTTGGAGAGAGACCACTGTTGATATTTCTCTGTATTTTATGCTGAAGCTGGATGTGATATTAAATGTATCTTTGCATTTAGTATGCATGTTTTAAAATGTAAACAGCAACCCCAGGGATGATAACTATGGGAATTGCAGTTGGCAAGAAGGAAGAGTTTAACACTCTTCTCCCTTGCTTTAATCCAAAGGGAAAATCTCTCCTCTGCAGGAAAGTGTTGTGAGCTGACTTAGAGGTAGGTAGTCTTCAACATTTAGCTTCAGATACAGCTGCCAATCTTTTCCTTGAGTGATATAGTTAAATAGTTGATATCTTCTATTAAAGCGGCATTGATTCCCCCCTACTTCTTCTCTTGTTTGTGACCAGTCATTTATATTGTGCTAAATGTCATGCTGAATTTGCAGCTAAACTGTCTATATGGCAGAATTTTAAAGACCGAGAAGACACTGTTTCATTTGGTGAATTTCAAATGAATGATTCTTGGTAGTTGATTCCCCCCCCCAAAAAAATCCAAGATGTTTTGATCCTTTTTGGAATGTGCACACATACAGGTTGAAGAGTAGAAAATTAGACATTTATTGAACACAATGACAAGCAGACTCATGGGCAGAAATGAGGTCAGAAGCTTCTCTGTACAACCTGTTGGTTCATTACGAAGGAGTTGTGTCATTCTAAATTATTACCAGATATTGATGAGCAGTATTCTGACAGGAATTGGGAACCAAATAGAAAAGGACAATCCTAGTGAAAGGAATAATGAACATTTTGGACTAATGAATCCCACCAGTCCATTTCACAAATGTATGCCTGTTGACACTGCTTGTTAAGATAGCAGCACTGAAAACTACTTGCTGAGCTGCCACATACGCCAAATATGTACCAAATGGTGATTTCACATTTTACTTAATGATGCTGCCACCTAGTTTTGGGACACATTAATTGTTTTGGGATCAGTCATGCAATGAGGCTTTTTGTGTACACTGAATATGGAGCAACAATACTGTAGCTTGAACTCATATGTTTCCCTGGTGCCGAAGAAAGCTGTGTGATATTTGGTATTGCGGCAAGCATCTATCTTACTTTGGATCTTGAAAGAAATATCTATTAATATGTGGTGTAATGAATGTATATCAATGTTTTCTGAGTGCAGAGTTTCAAAGTGGAGAACCAGATCTTTACCTTGAAGCTGTGTCAAGATCCGACTGTGAATCTTGGGCTGTGGCACTTGGAGAGGCCAGTTCAGAAGGTTTACGCAATAAAATCCAGCAGCTCCAGAGACTGATCATGGAAATCAAAGAAGAGAGAGCAGCAGATGAAGTACAACAGTTTCTCCCATCTGCACAAGCAGACAATCTAGCAGAGCTCAAGCTTACAAGTAAGCTTGCTGTTCGTTGAATCTTAATTTTGTGAATGCTGGGAGGATGTATTCTTCTCTGAGCAGCCTATTCTAAGCAAACTAAATATCCAGTAAGCTTTATCTTGTGGACAGTCATGTTAATATAATATTGAAAATGTTTTTTGATTGACTTGTTTATAGCTGCCTCACATTAAATTGTTTCCAGTGGAGCAGCAGATACGTAGAATCTGTCAGTTTGCTTAGGTGGGCTTAGTTGTCTTTTAAAAGATGCCGTGTATAAATGATGTTTAGGTTGATCTCTAATTGTTCTAATTATTACTTACATTTATACCCTGCCTTTCCTACAGTAAGCTCAATGTGGCATAGCTCCTTCTGACTTTGTTCTGGCAGCACCTGAAGTCGGGTCAGGCTGAGAGTACATGATTAGCCTAGATTCACCCAGTGAGTTTTGTGGCCCACTGGGAAATAGAACTTGGATCTCCCAAGTCCCAGTCCAGCACTCTCTGCACTACACCACACAGCCTTCTTTTCACACTACATGGAGACAGATTGCTAGTAATTTCATTTTAAAGATGAGAACTAGACCTGGGAAACAGGCCTGTACAGGCCACGTACTGTATCCACACTAGTCTTTGTCAGTTGTTTTGAACACCGAAGAGTGCCATATAGATTTAACAAAGAAGGAAAGTTAAATACAGTAAATCAACACCATTGGCTAACCATGGGTAACATAGTCTACTCAAGCTTTGCATGCTCAGCAGTGCTGGTCACTTTCATATCTTTGAACTACATAATAAGCCTGTTTTGAAATTCCACAAATCTCACAACAGATTTTAGTGTCACATGGGAAACTGTTGTTGTAGGAAATTTGTCATAGACAAAATAATTTTCTGGAGCTGATTATTGGTCTTTTACTTCAGTAGCTGGGAATCTGTCATTTTCATTTTCACTGCATTTCTGAGAATCCAGGAACATCCCTGCACCATTCACATTCTGCACTGGATTGTGGAACTTTTTTCTTCGTGCATAGAAATGTGTGTTTGTATTGATAATTGTACTACTTTACATATTTGTGTGTATGTACTTCTCCACATCCAAGTGAGTTTGTGTGCAATTTTCAAATTTACAGTTTTACACACACATTTTCTGACATGTAATTTTAAGAACAGGAAAAAAGCTGATGATTGGTGACAGGAAACCAAAGGACAAATGCACCTTTTTATTCATGGTCTTGTAGATACGTACGTTTGTAAAATATCTTAGTTAATGCTAAGTTTGTTTCCATCCCTAGTCTTCCATAGACTAATATTACAGTTCTGAAATTATTTAGGTGGAATTAAGGAATCAGTGAGTTGGTTACTTATTCAGAGTGAATAAATTCAAGACTGGGAATTAAATTCCTGTATAATATAGACTGCAATCTTATACTTTCTTACTTAGGAATGTAAGTCTCCTAGGTGGAGTGTTATCTCCAAGTGCCTCCACAATCTGTTTGTAGGACCCTATCAGAATACTTGCAAATACTTGCAAAGCTTTTCTATCACTATTTCCTTTTGTAAAAGAGTATTTTTCCTGTTTGAAAAATAAAGATTTAAATGATAAAGTAGACATTGTCATGTGTTACTGAATCCAGCATGGAGTCTGCACACCTCAGCAAGAATATCCTCCTCCTCAGGTGTGACAGTGAAAGCATGAAGAAAGTGATGATGGAGGATGAGAGGCTAGATGCCCCCACTGATGTTTGTTGACACCACTGAGTTTTCTAAATTCTGAATAGGGCGACTGATTTTGTTAACTTGGCTTCTTTAGTTTCTGGAATGTCAGTTAGCTTACGAGTATTCTTTAGATAAAAAACTGTCATCACATCAACATAATGCCAGAAGAAGTGAGAGCACAGGAAAAGAGGAAAACTAGATATGAAGTGGATTGATTAGTTAAAGGAAGCCATAGGCTTGAGTTTAGAATAGCTGAGCAGGGCTGTTGAGGACAAAACATTTGGGAGATTACTCATTCATAGGGTCAACCTAAGTTGGGTGTGAAATGACACTCACATTTTCTTCCATTTTCTTCTTGTTCCTCCCTACCAAGATCTGGAAAGAGAGTAAACCAGAATTCTGTTTCATTTCAGTAGATTCATATTGTTATATGTCAGCTAAGAAACTATTCTGTCAAACAAGGCAGCCAAACAACCCAGCCTTGTTTACTAATTGACAAGAGTTTCCTTTGAGCCACGATTCCTATTTAGTGCATAAAAACAAGCCCAGGAATCAACCAAAGTGAAACTGAAGTTTGGTTATTTCTCCTCTCAGTTTTGCAGGAGGGAGAGAGAGCTAGCAGGCCAGGGACTTTTTGCGGCCCTATCTCGACGTGGGGGCCCTCACTACCTTGGTACATGCACTCGTAATCTCAAGATTAGACCACTGCAATGCGCTCTACATGGGGCTGCCTTTGAGGCTGCTGCGGAAACTACAGGTGGTGCAGAATGCTGCGGCCAGACTTTTCAGTGGTGTGAAAAAATACCAACATATTTCACCCACTCTGGCTGCACTGCATTGGCTGCCCATGCGATTCTGCATCGACTTCAAAGTGTTGATGCTTACGTACAAAGCCCTAAACAGCTTAGGGCCTCGATACTTGGCGGAACGCCTACTTCCACCAAGTTCTACCCGTGTCACTTGCGCGAGTCAGGAGGTGAGGCTGAGGAGCCTAACGCCGAGGGAGGCCCAGAAAGAAAAGACAAGAAATCGGGCCTTCTCGGCGGTGGCTCCTCGCCTCTGGAATAACCTTCCCCCGACATCCGCGCAGCTCCCTTGCTGGGTATTTTTAAAAATCAATTAAAAACACTGATGTTTCGGCAGGCCTTCCCCGCCAATTCCTGATCTTTCCTCTTTTTTCTCTCCCCTCGTCTTTGTCCCACCTTGTCTAAGTTTTTCCCCTTATTTAAAATTGTTTTAATCATATTGTAATTACGCTTGTTGTAAGCCGCCTAGAGTGGTCTTAAGTGGCTAGATAGGCGGGATATAAATAAAATAAATAAAATAAAATAAATAAAATAATTCTAGTCATGCCTGTAATGCTCTAATACTAGAGCAAAGTTTAGAGTTATATTCATATTCTCTAGTGAAAGACTAGAGGGCTTTGGGAAAAAAGGAGAGATGGATATGAAGAATGTTGCATCTTGATTGTCAGCATGCAGTGCTATAAGTTCTCCAGAATTAGTAAGATTCCTCAGTGATATATTTGATGCAGTACTAAAGATGTGTTCATATATGTGAGTACTATACATAATTTAAATATTCTTTTACCAACAGGTCCTAAGAAGACTCTCAGTGAACCAAAGTTTGAATTCAGTCTCGGTAAGGCTTTCCATTTTGTTTAAACTATTTTTAAGAACACGTCTTTAGAAAGTCAGGAAAAGAAATGATCTACTTAAGGAAGCAATCTACTTCGAAAATCTTCCATCAAAATGGCCTTGTAAATATTTGCCAATTTTTAAGCAGAATCCAGACTTGAGCTGGTTCAGACTTGAATGAAATCTCTTTCACATTTGAATTAGAGAATTTACAGATTCTAACCATTATAATATATGGAACTCTCTAAAATGCAGGACATATAATGCTGAAATAATTAGTGCATTCAGGTAAGAATTATTTATAGGTAAGATTTAAATTTCAAGGTACAGCAGCTTCTTGAGTTTTACCTTTTGAAACAGAATGTCTCTCTTGAGAAAGAGTATCTTATTAATTGGTGCACCTAAATAAAAAGAATATGTCGTTCTCTTTATTCAGGTGCATGTAGCATTGTTAAAATGTTGAATCAGTCAAGCATACTGATTAGCTAAGTTTATCCTCATTGTGTAAAAAAAGAGATTTTTTTAAAAAAATATAACTACCCTTGTGCTGATGAATAGCATTCCAGCACTTTCAGGAACATCTGGTCATTTTGTTTTGGGGCAGCGCCCCCAACTTCCAGGCAGCATGGCCTCTGGCCATGCCAGCTGGTGTGCCTCAGGTATTTGTTATCCAAAAAGTAACTTTTCTCTTAACTCTAATTATCTCCTATGAAGTAGTTTATTACATTTCCAAACTTTTAAAATTTAATGTCATTTTCAAAACATTTATTTCCGAAAGATTGTTACTTCAGTGATTGTCTCAAATGAGACTGGGAATGGTGATATGAATTGAAGAGCTAGAATAAAGCCCAGAATAAAGAAAAATAAATAAAAGATCAGTTTAGAGACTACAGGGAAATTTTGAAAAAATTGAGCATTTTCCCACTGTAAATAAGTAGCTCAGTATTGCTAGGTCTGTTATTTGCTATATTGTAATATAGTGCACTATAATGAACAGTGAGATTTCTAATCCATAAACCAATGTTAAGGGAATTTGTGGTACTCCACATGTAATCGGGCTCAAATACTGATCAGTCCCAGCCAGTATGATTTGTGGCTGATGAGAATTGTAGCGTAGCAACACTTAGAGGGATTCTCCACCCCTGCTGTAACCCTACTTATCTTGGAACCCAATTATGCTCCACTAATTTAACTGATTAAATAAATAGATTAAATGAATGTGCCCCTCTTCCTAAAAATGTTTTACAGTGGGACATGGGATTTTGATACAAAATGTGGTGTGGTGGATAGAGTGACAGACCAGGATTAATAAGATCTGGGTTTGAATCCCTGCTCAGCATTGGAAGCTCACTGGAGGAGTCACCTAATTTTGAAGCCCCATTAGAGGTGCTACAAGTCATTTCCAATTTGATGGCACATAACCTCAGATTCACAGGCTGTGAAAGCACAAGGATGATGCTTGGTTTATTTTTATATGATTGTTGTTCTTAAGTAAAGTTATGTAGATGCTGATCTGCTTTTGCTGTGGGTCATGCCTTGTGGTAGATTCACATGTAGGAAGGAGACTTGAATGAAAAAAGCAGTCCCAGTGGCAGAAGACAGAAGCTTTTACAGAAGAGTTTTTTCCCCACTATTAATTCACGTCATCATCTGTTTATTTTTGACAGATACTTTTGCCTTTCTGCTGAATAATTCTAGCCTGAACTACTTAAGAAAAAGCCTGTTGAAAAAATAGGTCAGCCTTTATTAAGAAAGCAGCCAAGGAAGCTTTTATTTTAAATCCAGAAGGGAAGGGAACATTTCTAGTTTGTTTTACTCACATGTTTTGAAGTAAAAACACATTTTGAGGGATTTATTTTGAGTAGCTATGGCTAAACTGTTCAGTGACGAGCTTGTGGATATCTGAGCTTGAAAAGCTGTTTAACAGCTGAAAGGGCCCTGCTGGCATATATGAGTTCTTAAGAGGCAGGGTTTTCTCACTGTTGTTCTGTGTGATGCACTAGATAATGGGATTTTAGAGGACAAAAATTGTAAATTGGATTTCCAACTAAAAGAGATGAAGCAATGATGTAGACCACAAAGAGGTAGGAACCAGATATGTGGAGTGGGGAGCATGGGAAGATTTAGGATTTGAATCATTTGTTCTGCATTATTTAAATATATGTTATTTTCTGTTATGAGTAGTGTTGACCTTATTTTGCATGGTTTTCATAAGCTGTTCTAAATTGGATTTTGGCTGGGCTTGACAACAAGTTCCATTGGATGAACATGTCATTCTACTGATTTGCACCATGAATGCAAAAATGTGTCCGTTCTTCTGGTGCATGTACTAATTTATTTTATTTATTTATTAGATTTCTATCCCTCTCTTTTAGACAAAGTCTACTCCGGGCGGGTTCCATTAAACATTGTAAACTAAGACAGTTAAAAACAATTAAAAACAATAGTGATTAGTAATGCTTAGTAATGCTCAAGATGGGAAAACAGAAAATTATAATAAAAATAAAGTCAAATATTGACAGGAGGGAAGGCCTTCCTAAAGAGCCAAATTTATAACTGGCTCTTAAAACAGCTAGAATGGCCATTACGCTATGATGGGTGAAATCCTGTTCTGCGGTGACACAAATGGCATCCCTTTTAGATGCAAATTGCTCTAAGTTAAATAAAGTTAAGAAATTGTAGGCATTCTGTTGCATGCCAGGACAAGTGACTCAGTATGCAACAGACTTCGTCTATGGAAATTTCTTAATATATGGCATTTCACTCGCAAACGTTATACTGTTTGTGATCACACAACAATATTTTAATCAATGTGTAGGCAGAAGTAAAGGGTTCATTGCTTTGTAAAACAATTTCTGAACTATCACTTTGGACTGTAAGCAGAAAGGGGATTTGAATGTTTCTCCGTCATGGGAGTGGAGATCCTTACACACATGACATTAAATTCAGAATAAGGATGGAGCCTTGTTCTCAACTCACTGTCCATAATATTTTAGCCTAGGTTAGTTGCTTTTGGGTCCCATGGAAATCAACAAGGAAAGTTAGTAATGAGTAACAATCAAACATGCAGAGCAAGCTTTTGTGAATAAAACCCACCACTTCTAGCATGATTTTTCGTCGTCTAAATAAAGATATCATCTCCCCAATCTTTATATTGTGTAAAAGACCACATGGCGCTCTCTGTTGTTTTTATGTCTTAATGATTTCAGTGGATCTCACTACTTCAGACTGCAAAGAGACTTTGACTTCCATAGACAAAACAGGTTCTTCAGTGCTCATTATTGTTGCATGAGAGTACAGCAGTGATATTGTGCAGCAGAACAAATCAACATTTTACAAGGCAGTTCTAAAAATGGGAGCAGCCCAACAAAAGATTATAATGTTTAAACGAGGATTCGGATCAACACCAAATGTGGAACAATTGTAGCAAACTGTCTCCTCTGGCTGTATGCCAATTTTGGGGATAAAACAATTTCAGAACTATCACTTTGAACTGTAAGCAGAAAGGGGATTTGAATGTTCCTCCGTCATGGGAGTGGAGATCCTTACACACATAACATTAAATTCAGAATAAAGATGGAGTCTTGTTCTCAACTCACTATCCATAATATTTTAGCCAAGGTTAGTTGCATTTGGGTCCCGTGGAAATCAACAAGAAAAGTTAGTAATGAGTAACAATCAAACATGCAGAGCAAGCTTTTGTGAATAAAACCCACCACTTCTAGCATGATTTTTAGTCGTCTAAATAAAGATATCTCCCCAATCTTTATATTGTGTAAAAGACCACATGGCGCTCTCTGTTGTTTTTTATGTCTTAATGATTTCAGTGGATCTCACTACTTCAGACTGCAAAGAGACTTTGACTTCCATAGACAAAACAGGTTCTTCAGTGCTCATTATTGTTGCATGAGAGTACAGCAGTGATATTGTGCAGCAGAACAAATCAACATTTTACAAGGCAGTTCTAAAAATGGGAGCAGCCCAACAAAAGATTATAATGTTTAAACGAGGATTCGGATCAACACCAAATGTGGAACAATTGTAGCAAACTGTCTCCTCTGGCTGTATGCCAATTTTGGGGATGTTTGGGCAAAAATCATATAGTATTACCATTCCCCCTGTTTACCATTCCTCCTGTTCAAAAATAGGCCACTCCCAGCTACCCCAGTTTTAAAATACTCACATAGATTGAAAAGGCCAATCTTGCATATCTTGAGGAGAATTGTTGGCTCTACCCACTTTTCTTAATTTCAGAAGAATCAAGGTTGTAGGGGCTGGGATATTTGTCCTCAAAAAGGCCTGTCAAATGGGAGAACCAGTGATTTCTTATAACACTGAATGTATGTGGCACAGGCTTGCCAGGAAGAGTGACTTTTGCAAAGGCTAGAGCTGAGAGAGTAGAGATGAGGGTATTCGTATGCAAGTGCAAGTATCTCCGCTCAGCTGGACTTAATGAGGATTAACTCCACATGTCCACCACCACCGCTGGCCCCACTCATCTTTCCAGTCACTCCTGAGTGCTGTTCTCTTCCTGTTCATCTAGCCACTCCTGTCAGAGGGAGAGAGGATGAGTCTCTCTGCAAGGCTGCTCAGTGGCTAGCTGAACGACGCTCTGGAGCAATTGGAAGGAAGAGAGGAGGAGGATAAGTCTCCCTGCAAGGCTGCTCAGTGGCTAGCTGAGTGACGCTGTGGAGCAATTGGAAGGGAGGGGCTGCTGAATTTGTGAGTGGACAGTCCCAGGGGCCGGACCCTCATTAACTCATGTGTGAGTGGACAGTCCCAAGGGGCTGGACCCTCATTAACTCCAGCTGTGTGGGGATATTCATATATGAATATCCTCATCTCCATAAGAGAGAAAGAAGGCAAGGGAAATAACAGGAGACCTGCAAATAGACAGCCCAAAATGAAAGGATGTAGGAAAGTCAAAAAGCAGGCTTGGATTAAAGAAAGTAGTGGAGTGACAGTCCTCCAGAAAGGCTGCAGTCCCAGAGCAAGGGTGCTGCT